AGCCTGGGATGTCACCACTCTCCAGGAACCCAGAGAACAAATGGGACCCAGAAGGCCCGGTTCTGTCTGAGGGAGGCCTCAGCGTTTTGCTTCCCTCCGCTCTAATCCCTCTGATCATTTCATGACCAAAGTCCTTGTTGTTCCCCTCTGGCCGACCTGCTGCTTTCTCCAGGTTTCCTTTCAGAAAAATCACGAGGAAAATGTTCTGACACACTTTGCTCTATCATCTGAGGGAAAACGACCAGAACCGGACTGCTCCAGGTGTGTCCAGCGAGTCCAAGTGAGTCTAAGTGAGTCCAGGTGTCCAGGTGAGTCCAGGTGTTTCTCTGGTCCGGTTCCTTCCATTAAAACCAGTAAATAGAAGCAGCCTTTATTGCCCCGCAAGGGGCAGAAATGGGCGGGGCCTAAATGTCATGTGACGCAAAATCACTGAAGGATTAAAGTGATATTCAGTTTTGGAGCTTGAGATTTATGACTTATTAGACAAAACCTGTCCTTCGCTACAGCGCCCCCTATGCAATGAATGTTTATATTTCAGAATTTATTTTTCCCAGACTGGGTTTTTAAAGCAGAAGAACAGATAATACAGAAGTAGAAGGAGAAGAGCGCTTAGCTCTCTCAGCGTTCCCTGGTCACATGTGGACAGAGTAATCAGAAGTTGGGCCGGTTCTCCTAGGTTCTGACCCGGTTTTGAAGTATCTTAAACATCTTGAAAAGAGAAAAGTGGTTAAAGAACAACAAAATCAATTTCATATCACAAAATAAAGTGTGTTACATCTGCATTCAACATTTCAGCACAGTGCATCCAGTGGAGGACCAGACTTTGACTAGGCCATTGACTCCTGCTGCGTATCATGTTTGGGTCACTGTACGGCTCCATGTTTCAGGAAACAGGAAACTTTCTCCTGTGGCTCCGGTTGGTTCTTGTCCTCCGAGTGATGACTCAGTGTTCAGCAACAATGGAACAATAAAGTTTCCACAACTCTTCTCACGATGAACCAGAGTCACCTCAGAGCAGAATCAACCCGGTCCGGTGTGGACTCCCATCAGAACCATCACAACCGGTCTAACTGGGTCACAGGAAGCTGAACTTACCCTGACCCAGTTATCTTTCTGAACTCTTTCCCAGTTTTTCCATAATCCCAGTTTAACTCTGAGGATTTTCCCAGGATTAGTTCGACGTGGTGATGGTTCTAACCCAGTTAAGCCTTCAGAACCTATTGGATCCAAACAGGTTCTCCATCCAGCATTGTCCCAGATGGCTGCCATTCATGCTGCCTGTTTTCATGACTCATGAACTTTAAGCCACATCATGTGTCCAAAGCTAGTGATCATTTCTGAACGTTAGCGAGTCTCAGAGCAGCAGAGGAAGAGAGATCAATGTCTAAACATTAGCGTTAGCTTCGGCTAACTGCTTAGCTGATTCTACTGCAAACATATATGCTTCATTACAACCATGGCGGCCATTTTAAAATGTCCTCCAGAAAAAGTCACACAAAGTCAGGAAAATATGTATCTGATTACTATGGTTCTCCAATCATGTAGGCTATGATGGTGATAAGACGATTTTAGTCCAAAATGATGCATTATGTTGAAAACATTTCCAGTAATGGTTCCTGTGGGTCCAGTAATGTACGATTCCACACCAGGATTATTAACTGAGTCGAAACTAAACTTTCCTTGATGACCATCTTGATTTGTTTTATTTTATTTCCAACAAATTTTATTGGTGCCTCGTTCGGTTCTGGATGTTTAAGGTTTCCCTGGACCAGCAGGCGGTTCCGCTCACCGGTCCGGTCGGTTTCAGGACGGGTGGTGCTGTGGGCAGCAGAACCTCCTGGCATCAGACGCTCGTCACGGATTCCAGGGAACCAGAAAGGAGAAGCATCAACATTTCCTCTGATTTATTCCTCTGTTGGAGACGTCAAAGTGCAGGAGAAGCTGCTCTGAATGATCGCCTCAGATGACCTTTGACCTGCGGGGAGCTTCATAACTCCATCTGCTCAGCTTTGGGTCATGGCAGCCAGCTGCACAATCCAGAGCAAAACACTGGATTGTTCCAGATCAGGTTTCTGGGTGGAGATTCAAACAGAAACATTCTGAAAATGTTGCAGAATATAAACATTTATTTTAATTAAAAACATGTTAAAGAATAATTTAAAACCGTTTCCTCATGAAAACGTGATTTCATGACTTTCTGAGTTCTGGATCTGATCACTGAAACAAAATTAAACAAAATGAAGAGCGGCAGAAATATTTATTCACGTTACATCAAGCAACTACATTTCCCATGATGCAACTGCAGAAACAAATGGACATTTAAGAAATATCTTACATGACACATTTTATTTCCAGTAATTATTTCAAATTTTACTATAAGATATGATAAAAACATATTTTTTTAAATCATATTTTCATTTTCTTTTATCATAGTCTGTTTTCCAGTCAGAATGAAGTTTATCCTGAATAAATGTTTTATTTTTATTTTCTCTCTGTTTTCATGAAATAAATGTTTTATTTTAAACTAATTCATGTCGAATCAGGTAAACAGGAAGAGTAAATCTGCTCCCGTTTATTTTATAAATATCAGATTTTTAATCGTCCTGAACATTAAATGAAACATTTCTTAACATATTTGACTCTTCCCTCCTCAGGAGGTTCTGACTCTCAGGTCCAGATCCGGTCAGATTCCTGGCAGTCTGTGGCGCCGCCTGCTGGCCAGCGCCACAATGACCGCTGTGACTGGCAGGTCAAAGGTCAACCGGGAGGCCAAGCATCAGCAGCCGGCCCAGGTGGGTCAGAACCAGCTTGGCCCGGGTCGCAGCTATGCATGCTGGGAGATCCAGCACCAGAACCAGAACCAGAACCAGAACCAGAACCAGGACCAGAACCAGAACCAGAACCAGGACCAGAACCAGTACCAGAACCAGAACCAGGTTCGGATGTTGGAAACTGAGAAATAAAACGCTGCTCTGAACTTTTTTGTTGTTTTCAATATTTTTAAAATATAAGATAATTTTTCACTTTATTTCTTGATTCCATTTTTTCCGGTCGGCTGGTCTCTGGATCCGGGAGGTTCTGGGATCAGAACCAGAATCCTGAGGAGGATGAAAACTCTGAGGTCATCAGAGTTTTCATCCAATCAGAAGGCATCAGGAAGCAGCGCTGGGGTTACCTGGTGACCCGGTGCAGGGGGGCAGGAAGACATTAGCATTAGCACATAGCATGAGCTCCAGCCTGATCTAGACAACATAACAGTGTTAGCATCCATCAAATGCTACAGGCCATGAAGGCGTAACAGCAACTCAAATGAAGATATTAAAACACCCGTCAATAATACAGAAGGACAAATAAAGATTTGAACAAAACGAAAGGATCAAAAAACTTTCTTCTCCTCAGGGGAACAAAAGTGAAGAGGAAATGAATAAGTTGATATTGATGACAGTTAATCCATGAATCATCTGGAGGATGTCAGACTATCAACAGAAGAAGAAGAGAGGCGGAGCTGGAGGACCAAACCCAGAGGAAGAGCAGAACAACAAACACATTAAAGAACATCTTTTATTAATAACTCTTATCTTAATGCTGCATTAAAATCATTCAATAGATTTAAATTAGTGAACTATTTAGTTACAAATTTATAGCTAAATGTTTATCTAAAACCAAAGCAAAATATTTAGTTTTCTGGGTATTTAGTTTTCTGCAGTAATTATTATTTTTATTATTGTTTATGTCCGTCACTAGCTGTGTAAAATACATCAGTGGATAAATAAATATTGCATCTTTGATCATTTAATTTTAATTAAATCTATTTTTTAGTTTTGTGTTTTACTTTTGTTTCAAAAAGTTCTTCCTGGTCTGTTAAAAAAAAATCTGCACTGCATTAAAAATGACTTTTACATTTTAGCAGAATGGGAGTATAAACATTACTAATCATAATAATAATAATGATGATAATATCATAAAGGAGACAACAGAGGGTTAAAGGTTTTAACAGAAGGCAGGTTGGGTGTGTTCATGATGCGTTTGCAGCAGATTTAAATTTGTTTTGGTTAATTTGCCCCCATGGATGTCAATGTGCTCGTTCTGCCCCCTGGTGGCGGCCTGAGGAACCAGCAGCTGCTGATTTGACTCTCAAAGCAGCTGCTGGTTTCAGCCGCTCGGCTTCCTGCGGCTCCACAGAAACCACAGAAGAAGAACTCCAGCAGGGACCAAACCTTCATCAGAGATTATAATCTGGATTAATCATTTTCAGGTTTAATGAGAGGAAGAACTCAAACAGCTTTGATTCCCTGTCACATCTATTCTACCTACATCACAGGTTCCTCTCAGGCTGGCCCTGCAGAGGTCAGAGGTCACACACTTCCAATAGATGTTTTTCAGATTATTTTTTTCAGATTATGTTCAGTTTTTTTTTTTTTTTGAGTCTTTCCTAAAACTGAGCGGTAGAAATATGGGGTCAGTTCTATCAAAAACAATGTTTAAAATAATTTCAAATTTAATTCTTAATTTAAATAAAACTTGTTTAAGGATAATTAGAAAAAACAAAACTAGAAAAGAATTTAATTGAAAAATTCAATTTGAAGAATTTAAATCATAAAATCAAAAATCTATTTTAATTCTTTTTCTTTTGAACATTTTGTTTACTTTTACAATAATATTGGAACGATTTCTCTAACGCTGCATTTACTCTGAAAATAATCAAAACGCTTCAGATGGAAGTCGGACATTTTCCTCCAGACGGATGTTGAAAATATTTTCAATATTGTTCCAGAGAATCGCAGCAAATTCCAGAAAAAATTGGAGTTTCATCCCAAGATTTTAAAAGCTGAAGATGTTCTGCTGTTTCACAAGGAAGGAACGTCTTCAGGCGCTGTCACGTGACCTCTGACCTCATCTTCTCATGCAAACGTCTTCCAAATCAGCTGCTGACTTTGACTGCCAAATGTTTCATTTCCATAAGAGAAGAAGAAGGAAGCGTCTGGAGGCCAGAGCGCCGGCGGCCGCACAGCAGCTCCGACCGTTTCCTCCTCAGCGACTGGATTCAGTTTTATTATCATTTCACAGGTTGGAGATATTTAAAAGTAGATAAATATTTTATGATTATTTGTTTAGATGAGTTTATTCAGCTGAAGAAAAGAGAATAAAACCAAATTCATTAAAAAATGTTGAATATGGTTTTATATTAATGGGAAGTTTAACTCTTTCTGAAACCGTAGTTATTGATGTAGTTATTGATGTAGTTATTGATGTAGTTATTTTTTGTTTTCCAGAGCTATGAATCCGGCGCCGCGCCTCGTCGTCCTGCTGCTGGCGGCTCGGATCGCAGGTAAAACATGAAATCTGCTTTTCGGACGGTTTCCTTTCATCCAGCGGTTCATCCACAAACATTTCCTCTGGAAATAATCTCATTTTATTGCTATTGATCAGGTGTTGCAGCCTGTCGGCAGCCGGGCTGCTTCCATACGGAGGTAATTTGGGGCCAAAACGTTTTTTCAACAAAAAAAAACATCTTCAAATCAATCAATCAATCAAATTTTATTAGTATAGCACATTTCAGCTACAAGGCATTTCAAAGTGCTTTACATCATAAACACAAAACACAAAGGCATGCAGCATAGAATAAAATATCAAGTGTTTTTTTGTTTTTTTTTTCCCTCTTCCTTCCCTTTGACACGGAATTTAAGCGCCTGTTACCGCCGGACTCTGCCGTCCGTTTAACCACGGGTATTCGCCGGGCCCCGTTGCCCACAACAGGAAAAAAACAAAAAAAAACAAAAAAAATTACATACATATCCACAAAATCAAATCCATACATATTACATTTCTAATCAAACTCTAAACAGGTGCGTTTTTACTTGAGATTTAAAGGAAGTCAGGGTTTCCGCTGTTTTACAGTTTTCTGGAAGTTGTTCCAAGTTTTTGGTCCATAGATGCTGAAAGCTGCTTCTCCTCTCTTGGTTCTGGGGATGCAGAGCAGAACCAGAACCAAGAGAGTCTGGAAGGTTGATACAACAACAGCAGATCTTTGATGTATTGTGGTGCTAAACCGTTCAGTGATTTATAAACTAACAACAGTATTTTAAAATCTATTCTTTGAGCTACAGGGAGTCAGTGGAGGGACTTTAAAACTGCTGTTATGTCTCTAACTTCCTGGTTCTAGTGAGAACAGGAGCATCAGCTTCTGGATCAGCTGCAGCTGGAGGATTGATTTGTTGGACAGGCCTGTGAAGACGCTGTTACAATAATCAATGCGACTAAAGATAAACACAGGGATGAGTTTCTCTAGATCTGGCTGAGACATTAGTCCTCTAATCCTGGAGATGTTCTTCAGGTGATAGAAGGCCGATTTTGTAACTGTCTTTATGTGGCTCTGGAGGTTCAAGTCTGAGTCCATCACTACTCCCAGGTTTCAGGCTGATCGCTAGGTTTTAGTTGTAATAACTGAAGCTGTGCAAACTGATTCAGATTAAAGTTTTATTTTTGATTTTGCAGAACTTTTTTTTTCAAAGTAAATATAGAACAGTTTCTAAGCTTCAAATAATTTTTTCTATTGAACAAACTTTATGGCCCATATTTAACCATACTTACAGCGTTTCCCACCGAGTTTTCAGACTTTGTGTTTTCTCATATCACAGAAATAAAGTCAGTATTTGAGCCGAGGTCTTCACCTCACATTTCTGATTTATGGATGTTATTTTCACATTCGCAGCTGTGTTTGACGACAGCTTGGAGTAAAAATATCAGTTTATACATGCAGGATAATTTAACCCTGTTCTGGTCAAATGAACCAGCAATGAATGAAGGTATTTTAAAGTTTTCATTTTGAAATCCGAATCCCTGTTTTTATGTCAGCTGAAAATGTTTTACTCTAATTCAGTAAAAAACATTAAAAGTCCGGATTTTTTTTTTTAACAAAAGGCTGATTTTATTTTTCTGCAAACAAACATTAGAAAACTTTGTTTTCTCATATTCTTCATAGACAGACACATAAAAATGCTAAGGCGCTAATTTATTTGGCTGCTTTGTAGCTTTCAGTTAACCACTGTTTATATTTATAAATTTATGAATATGTTCATTTCCATGCTCTTATTTTGAAATCCGTTTACATAGCAGCTGCGTTTTCTTCCTTTATTGAGGAAGTGGAAAGTATTTAACCGACCAATGAGGAAAAGAAAAACTCAACCAGGAAGTAATGAGACAAACACCATTTGTTCTGTACAAACATTAAGAGCTTTAGCATTAGCTTCTGCTAAATACCATTTTGGTTAGCGTTTTAGCATTAGCAGAACTGATGTCTATGAGTAGTGCTTTAGCGTTAGCCCAGCTAACGTTCAGCTAGCCGTGCCCACTAGTTGGGAAACGACACGCCGAGCCTTGAACACAACGATTCCTGAGGTACGTTTTAAAAATACAAACTGTAGTTGACATTATAAAACAGATGGATGGTACTGAACGCATGCATCCATTTTCACCCTGAAGGTTCAGGGTGGTTTCAGA